GCAGGTTGTTTGCCTGGCTTGTGCTTTCAGGAAGTGGCTTTGCTGGGGCTTGTGATCCCAAACTCAAGGCTCTCAAAGGCACTTGGCTCTTACTTTAATTGGCATCTTGGGGTGGAAGTCTTCCCGGTGGAGTCCAGGGTATGTGGTGTGACCGGACATTGTAGTTTTTCCTTCCTTGGGAACTGCTCATTGTGGTGGAGGGGGAGATGGTCACAGCTGTGTTCGCGGCCTGGTGTGCAGGCTCCTTTCTGGCTGCCACCTGCCAACTTTGGGAGTGACTCGGCAGAGACGTTTTGGTGACTGACTGAGGGCTGAGATGGTTAATAGATCTTTTAAATCTTTGACTTCTGTTCCTCATGTAATAGTCTGATTCAGTTGCACCCAGGCTTCCCTTTTTCTTCTGCTGTCCTCAGATCTAACTTCATATCGTTGCTGTTTCTGCCCTCTCTTTTAAATGATCTTGGTTTCAGTTTTGAAAATCACATGCTTGCACTCAGCTGTTGAATTAGGTCTCAGAAGCTGCTGGTGTTTCTGTAAGGGGGCAGTAGAGCCTTTCAAATTTTGACCTAAAGTTCAGGAGACTCGTTTTAAATTGGTGTTAATTTGTCATTCTAACCTTGTGTGCCTGAAGCATCATGAGTCAGTGTCTTTTTAAAGGCTGGGGAATGTCCAGAAGAGAGATTACTTTCCAGCAGCCAGAGGAGCAATCTGAAGTTTCAGTGCTTTATTTTAGACTTGGTGCCACTTTGCTCTGACAAATGCAGTGCCATGGGACTTTGAAGGAGGGTGTCTCAAATCAGTCACAAGCAGGCGCTGAACTCCCTAGCCAAGTCCCTTGAGTGGGGCTTTTTGGAACTGATGGTTTTTTCCCTTGTGGTTTTGTAACCCTTGGGGAACGCTGAGCGTTTTGTTTCGTTGCAGCGGTAGTACAGGCTTTTCGGGACCTGGTTTGGCTGTGTCCCCAGTGCACGGACGCCGTGTGTCAGGCACTGCCTAGCTGTGAGGACACCATCCAGGACAGTGAGGTAAGGGGGCTTGGTGCCGTGGGCTGGCAGCCGTTGAGGGTGGGTGGACAATGCCTTTGGCTTTCCTTTGGCTGGTAGTTGGCGGGCAAAGATCGGAAATCTTCAGAAGACTTGCGCAATTGTGTCTGTTTATTTCATGTCAACACTGTCTGTCTGGTAAACAGTGCCTGTTTGCGATTTTTACTGTGGTTCCTTCAGGGGAAGCAAGCACTGATCTGGCTTCTGGGCGCCCATGGTGAGAAAGTGCCGAATGCCCCCTATGTGTTAGAGGACTTTGTGGAGAACGTGAAATCGGAGATGTTCCCAGCGGTGAAGATGGAGCTTCTGACCGCATTGGTGCGACTTTTCCTGTCTCGTCCTGCTGAGTGTCAGGACATGCTGGGGAGACTGCTCTATTACTGCATAGGTGGGTTCCCTTCATTCTGTAGTACAGGCTTTTGGGGACCCGGTTTGGCTGTGTCCCCGGTGTGTGGATGCCGTGTGTCGGCATCCTGGCTAAGGTAAGGTGGCTGTGTGCCTTAGGCTGCTCCTTGGCCCTAGCTGTCTGGTTGGTGAGTGAACAGGCTGACACTGTATTCCTGAGAATCTGTTGTTAGTAATTCAGCGTCGGTACTTCAGGGAAATCTGGGTGATAGCATTCTCCATAAATTGCGTCTCTCTGATTCCCAGAGGAGGAGATGGATATGGCAGTACGAGACCGTGGATTGTTCTACTATCGCCTTTTGCAGTCTGGTGTGGAAGAAGTGAAACGGGTCCTGTGTAGCCCCAAGTCTGACCCCTCTCTGGGGCTCCTGGAAGACCAAACCAAGCGACCCGTGAATACATGGGCTTCAGAGTTTAATACTCTTGCACCAATTTATGGGAGAGAACGCTGGGCACTCGTCGCTGCTCACCAGCCAGCAGAACCCTCTTACACTTGTTCTCCTTGTACTGATGCGAGGAGCAGGGACACAGGTAACCCGCCTCTCCTTCATCTGGGATCTTGTTTCCCCTTGTCAGTAGATGTTCTCATGTGGGTTTCCTGGGAAGAAGATCACAGCACTTTGAGAATGCTGACTTAGTGTTCTGACTGTCTTGTGCAACGCATGGCCTCGTTAGCCCAGGGGATGCTGCTGAAGGTGCTGTGATTCCAGCCGCCTTCATCTGACGGCTCCAGAAGATGTGCTTTGTGAAACCAGGAGCTGCACCTGATATGCTGCATCTCACATGTTTGTGGTTTCATTTCAGAGTCACTGATTTCTGAAGGGAATAAAGAAGTCCTCAAGGTTCATCCTGATACAGGCAGCCTGACCTTAATTCCTGATGTTTACCTGACTGCAGAACAGTTCGAGAAGACCTGGCTGAGCTTGGACATGAGCTGCCACCTCTCTCTGCCCTGGTGTGGGACCGCTCATCCAGATACCATACAGACAGCTCTTCATGTTGTCCACATCCAGACTATTGCTATGAGCAAAGCTGGTGTCCAGCCATGGAAAGCTTATCTCAGCGCTCAGGATGATGCAGGTTGCCTCTTCCTCACAGAGCTCTTGCTTGAGGCGGCAGACGCGGAGATGCAGGTTTCGGTGAAGCAGAGTGAGGCAAAGCCGGAGGCACTGCAAGCCTTTATTTCGGCTTTAAGGACGGTCATGGGGGCAGTTGCTGGACTGGGGTCCTGACTGGTCCCTGCTCCCAGTAGGATGCCTGCCCAGGCCACAGGGCAAGTTTATTTCTCTGGCTTCATTTGCCATACCTGGTGCCGGCTTTGGACTTTAAGCGGCGGGAGTGTTTGCAGCCCTTTGCTGGGCCTGGGAAGCGCGTGTGGCGTGGGGGCAGCTGCGGGTGGTGAATCGGGCGGGGTGATGGGTCTGTCCTCCCTCTGGCTGGGGAAAGTTTGTGAGCCTGCTGCTTCTGGCGTGAGTCACGGAAGTGGTGGCACCTACGGTGATTGTCACTGGACGCTAACGTGACTGATGGAACCAGAAATGAGCAAAATTCTGGGATCTGTTTTGGAGAGGTTTTTTCATGAGGATTGCGAATAATTCAAAAAACAGTTCAGAGACTCCGGGACTCGGCTGCTTACCTCACGTGAAGAGGAACAGCGCAGTGGAGAGGAGAAGTGTTTTGTTCTTGGCTGCCTTTACATGTATGTGACAGATTTTGATAACAGCTTCACTGACGAGTGAAGGGAGCTCTGCTGTGCCGGGGGCGGGTGGACGGGGGACGTGGTGCTCGCTAGAACCGGCATGTTTCTTTTGCAAGAGAAGGAAGTGTGTGTGTAGTTGATATGTGTTACTGTAGCCACGAATCACCCTCTCTGAAGTTCCCCCCTCAGCTCCCTGTGGCCAGGGCGACTGTAAGAAGACGCAGGAGTGTGCAGGCTGCGTATGGTGTGTTTGTGTGAGTTAAAGTGGCGCGGGCTCTGTAGTCTGCGTCGCTTCATGTCAGCGAGCTGCCGCTCCTTGGTACTCCCACCAGTAATGGAAGAATTGCTGTTTAGATAGTTAACCTGTGTGGAATACTAAATTTTTGCTGATACTGATTTTTACCATTTGTAACTAGAAAGGGTATTTAAAGGTTTGTTTTCTGTGTAGTACTGACTTCTGTGCAGGGCTGTCGTCCTGTCCTCACCATACAGCGCTCAAGTTGGTGCAGTACCATGTGACTGAATTTTTATGGTTTTTAGAGTTATACCCTGGCCAGCCTTGGGACTTGTATTGTGAAGAGCACGTTGACAGCCCTCCATCTGCTCTGTTGACAGTTACAGAGGGTCAGACTTTGTACAGTGTCATGAAGAGTTTTACACAGCGGCAGAACCCTGGAGAAGGCTCCTTGGCTTGAGGCTGAGGTACACAGGGTACCGCAACGGGGCTTCGTGGTACTCTGTAAGGAGTGGCTTTGTTACCGCTATCCTGTAAGATTTCTTGAAATTTTTAATTTAATGACTGCATTGTACCTTTAAATTGCAGTATGCCTTCCCTGCGCTTCCCTGAAACACTGCTGTCACTGTTAAACAACAGGTTTGAGATTTTATTTCTGATTTTCCTAATAAAAATGTGAATCATTCCTGTCTGTTTTCTGGAGTTGCTTCAGCTCTGATGTCTGCAGGAGGGAGGGATCAGATCACTACCGTGGTTCCGGAGAGAACTGCAGTCCAGCTTCTGCCTCTGTGTCAGACAGGGCTTTTCTCTCCCAACTTCCTTGAAGCAAAACTTTAAGGAGCAATGGTGCAGTAATTAATTTCAGTCTCATACGCCACATTACTGTAACAGGTGAGCTACCTACGGGTGAATTCAAAGGTAGTAAGAAGTCAGCTGTAGCAGGGCTCCTATGAACGATTTCCAGTGTCTTTATGTGTATGTTGTATTCCTGTCCTTATGGAGAGCTGCATTGGTGTTATGTAGTTTTCACAAAAAAAGTAGTTGGTAGCTTGTTGGCAAGCTATCATTTACTGTGTGTGGCTAGACCGAGTCTAGTCTGTCTGGGATGGGACTTGGAGCTTCTAGCCTTTTATCCAGACCCTTTCTTGATGAATGAACAGGTCAGCAGTCTTTGATAACTTGTAAATACTTCAGTTGATCTTAACAGAAATGACTTATTTTGAAACTAAACCACACCCATAGGGTGAATGACGACAGTTAAGAGAGCAAATATTGGCATGTCTTCCTGTCCCGGGCAGGAGTTCAGGGTCAATATTCTTCCCAGAACGAAGAACCTGTGCAGCTTTGGGGAAAGGAAGCCAAAGTCTGGAGGCAAAGCGCCGCGACAACATTCCTGCCCTGTCTGCAGCGGGGAGACGCGCTGCAATGGCGACCTTCGAGGAGCAGACGGCGTGCGTTGTGGAAGCCTTGTTCTCTGACCTCCTCGGTGAAGGTGACAGCGAGTGCCGGAGCCTGGAGACAGACTGGGGAGGTAAGGCCTGTTGTGGGAGGGAAGAATGGTTTCTTTGCAGCAGATGATAGAGGGGCATTTTGACTGGGAGAGGAAGGAGGCTGGAGCTTGGGGTTGCTGGGTTTCCTGAAATGCAGGCTTGCCATGGCTTCCACGCTGTCTGTGTTCGGGGGAGAAGTTAGAGCAAGGTAACCGTGTCTGAATGCCGGGCAGCCCCAGCTGCAGCCTGCCTTGGCCGGGCCAGGCGATGGCTGGGAGGACGGCCACCCCCCCTCCCGCTCCTGGGGCTGTGGGCGCTGGCAGCGGGCGGTGCTGGCAGGGGGGTGCTGGGCCCCGCACGGGTCCGCAGGTCCTGGCTTGCTCCGCACTGACAGGGTGGGACAAGTTTTAACTGTCACTATCAAAAAGAAAGCTCATATTCCTTATTGGGTGAAAGCCGCTGCTTTAACGTGTGAGGCAGAATGTGGTCTTTGCTTCCCAATATCATTTGAGCTACTTTGGCTTGCTGGGCAATGCTGCAAGAAAGTCATAATTTCACCTGTATTCATGTTGCTTTTCCCATTATTTTCTTGACAACAAACTAGTTAAAATGTCCCAAGACACACTGGGATCTTGCTGACAGCAGATAACAAGCAAAGTCCATTTCTCAAAAGCCTCACAGAAATTTGTCATTTTGCCTAAAGAACAAGTGTCCCATAGCGTGTTGCTCGTTTCCCTCTCCTGGGTTAGACCCTCGTGGCCCTGTCCCTGCTGTCCTGGGGCTATGACACTGCCCCAGCGCCCCAGGAGATTCAGGGTCCTGCCAGGGCTGCAGGCGCTGAGTGCCGGCACCTGGACGAGAGGAGCTGAGCTGGAGTCGGCGCTGGGTGAGGGAGGGCGGTTGGATCCAGAAGCAATGCTTCCAGATAAAGTTGCCTGCTGCCTTATGTCGAAAGATCCTACTTTCAGTTCCTTATGACTTTGTCAAAGGTGGAAATGGTTTTGCTGAAACTTTCAGTGTCTGGTAGCTCCTTCTGGCTAACCTTGTTTCAGTAATGTTCAGAAAAAAAAAAAACAACAAAACCCCAAACAAACTCTGCTGTTGTTTTTCCCCCTCAGGATGCTTTAAGAGAAAAATGCTTTAACTGAGGTGCTCTCCCCCTGGCCCACCCCTGTCTTTAAGCAGTTTAGTAGTTTAGCTGAGAAGTTTTAATGGTTTTATATACTTGAAATTGGTGAAGTATGCCTTTTGCTCCTTTGTGAAAGCCTGCCCAAATTTGGGTCACCATGAGACTTTGAAATGTTGCAATTTGTACTTGCTCAGAAGGGACCATAAGTACAACTTCTCTGAAGCCTGCATGCGATGATCTGCAGCCTTGAAGTGCTGGGGAATGCAGGCAGGGCTTTGCCGTCTGATGGATGCTACTGTGTCACTGCAGTCAGAAGAGTGAGATGACATGTTTTCCAGCTCCTCCAACCCTCCTCACTTCCTTCTGGCAGCCTGGGAGGAAGGAGCTGCTGGAATCCGTAGGGGTGACAGAGAGACCTTAGAGCTGCCCTTGGAGAAACAGGAGTGGGGATGAACTGAGACTTGAGCATGAAGCAGCAAAGGAGGGAGGAAAGAGACCTGGACGAACCCGTGGTACAGAGCCCCTTGGTCCCTGTAGATTAGTGAATACTTGAATGGCTGTATGGTGTTTCTTGGGGCCTTGGGTTTTCCATTTCCTAATGTGTCTTTTCAGAGGTCTACCCTGCATTAACCTCCCGAGTGCCTGAGGCAGTAACTAGCTGGGGCTGGAGGCTGGGCTGTCAGCGTGTGTTCTCCTTCTCCGCCTTCAACGCGTTGTGCTGAAGCCCCTCGCCCTGCTGTCTCTGCTCCAGAGCCCGTGCAGTCTGCTGGGGAGCCTCCAACCACGTTTGACCCAGTTGTGGTCGCTAGTCGCCTGCGGCGGATGGGGGACCAGTGCAACATGGATTTTGAAAGGGTTTCCTCGGAGGCCCTCGCTGAAGTGCTCAAGGGAAAGGTAAAGGACACCTTGTCCTGCCTGGCCTGGCCAGCCCCCTGCCCGCAGGCCAGCCTTGTGTCGCCTTGTGTTGGAGAAGGGGAACAGCCCGGGAGGCAGCACAGCTTCCGCTGCAGGAGCCGGGGGGCCTGAGGGGAAGGGGCACGATCCCCCGCAGCCTCCCGTCGTTTCTGTGTCGCGGGCAGCATGCGAGCTGCCAGGACAGAAGCTGGAGAAGGCACTGTGGAGCTGCCTGTTCTCCTCTTCTCTTGCAAAGGAGCCGCATTGTACCACCTGGGAAGCCCCGGAGCTGCCTGGGCCGACCTGCTGGGGCGGGAGGCGCTTTGCAGTCCCGAGTTGGTGGGGGAAAGCAGGGGAAAGGAGGAAGACAGGGGTGAGAGGACAGGGCGGGCGCCCCAGCCCACTGCAGGCCATCTGTCCCCAGCCTGCCCAGCCGGAGCTCTCGTGCCAGCACGCTCTGCAGCAGGTGCTGCGAGCGGCTCCAGCTCCAGGCTGGCCGCAGTTCTGGTGGGGCCGCCGGCTGTCCTGCCCAGGCCTTCAACCGCGCTGCCACGGCAAAGGAGAGCCCTGCCTGGAACGTGCTGCGCTGCATCCCGGGTGTCCCCGGGGAGCTGTGGGGTCACCTGCTCTAGTCATGGGTGGAAAAAGCAAATGCAGGAATTTAACTGAATGTTGGATTTTGAGCCAAGACTGACTTACCACACTGCCATTTGAGAAGAAGCTCAAACTGCCCTCTCGACGCTTGCAGATGGAGGAGTTTGGGGCTGCCGTGGAGTCTCTTGTCAGGAGATGGAGTGACCAGAACCCCGAGCTGGTCTACGAGAGAGCTTTTCTCTGTGTTTCTGTGAAATTGCTAATGCATGTTGCTAAGAAAGTTCTAGCTGTGTTGCATCCCAACCAACTCACAAAAGTGATTAATGGAAATGCTCGAGTGAGAAACTACATTGAGGCCTGCGGCGGATGGGTAAGGAAGTGATGGTGGCGGTGACGTTTCCCTGGGCATTTATGGCTCTCCCTTTGTGTCTCTTGCCTCTCCTGCCTGCCTTGCTCGGCTCGTCACTGGTACCCAGCGCGTCCCCCCAGACGTGCGCACCAGGTAACTCCACAGGCGGCCGTGGGAGCGCGGCTCTGCTAAACACCAGTGAAGTCTTACTGGAGATGGCATCAAACTTCCATCTGCCTCCCTGTCTCGGGGTTTAATTCCTTATCTCGGAATCTTGGGAGCTCGGCTTGCTGCCTTAGATGAGAATCAAAACAAGGAAGGGTGGGCCAGACAAAAAGCACCATCCAGCTCCCGCGGCTCTACAGACCCCACTTGGTGCGTTTTATGGGGGGAAGGGACGAAATGGCTCCGGGAGAGGGTTGCAGTGGGGGGCGGATTGCTTGTCCCTCTGTCCTGCGTCCTTCTCTTCCTGCCCATTTCTTTAAACCTGCCTCAAATTCTTTCTCTAAACACCTACATGTGGGGTCTTTTGTTTTCAGGAGAAGTTGGACAATTGAGAGAATGGGCCATAGTACTTTCCAGAAGATGAAGCTAGGCTTTTCACTGACTTAACCAGAATAAATACAACAGCGTTGTTCCCAGCAGCTGCAAGCAGAGCTCTACACATAAACAACATGTAAAAGACATTCTGTATCGCTACAAGCAAAAATTAATAAATGTTTGTTGTTATTAATTTGGTTTTCTTCTTGTGTTTCTCTTAAATTTGGCCATAAAGATGGGCTTCACTCTTACTCAAGGATTCTAGGTTAGTGCTGAAGACTCTTCAGGTGAATATTTGTTTTAAAACACGCTTCCATTAGTTATTCTAAAAATCTCTCTGTTCCTCTCAGGTGATTCAAGGCTTTTTTTTTTCAAAATTAACATTTGACATCACTTTAAACTAACAGTGATGGCTCTTTCAGAGTGATCAGCAGCCCTTTGCCTCTCAGCAACTGGATACAGGAATCTCACAGCTATTCCTTACCCCATCTGCAAGAAAACACAGAATTTAATGACTTGACTGTAGTTACAATCAGAAAGAGAAACAGGCTTGAGATAGCTCGTCTGAAGTCTTTGTGCAAAATGTGAGATATTGGAAAGATCAAGGTTGTGATTACTATACCTTTTTTTTTGGGGGGGGGGGGGAGGTGTTGCTTTTAGTTTAGTTTTGTTTAGTTTCCCCACTTCTGCAAGTACAGAAAATGGATGGCCTTTGAGAACGTTGCTCTCTGCATCTCCTTCCCGCTTTGGAACGACCTCCACTTCGTCCTATGGGTTTTTTTAAAATGCTTGTGTGACCAAGAGGGAGTGAGGTGAACTGGGCTGGCGGAACTGATTTGATTTCTGCAGTCTACTGGCGTCAGATTTGACCCTCTCTTCTGGCACAAGCTGCAGATGTGGGGAATTGTGGCTGGAAGAGGTGACCTGAAGCCTGCTGGTGGGTTTTCTCTGTTCAGAAGCGGTTGTCCAGTTCGGGGCAGTAACACGTGCAAGCCCGGCTCAGTGCTCAGCGTCTGCCTGACGAATTCTTTCAAAATGTTTTGCATTAATGTGGGAACAGGCGAAGTTGCAGGCGTGAAGGGGAACCGTGGATGTTGCGTGCTGTTTCAGGGACTCTCCCAGCCACAGCACATTCCGAGCCCGACGCCTTCCCCTGGCCGAGACGAGAA